GCCGAAAACTTAAAATCGCAAAAGTTGAAAGAAAAAACGAGGGTTTTATGGCAATGGGGTGCACAAATGTCTGGAAATGATAAATGCAATAATAAAATGTTAAATGCAATAAGAAAATGGAATGATGGTTCACATTCAACAATGTAATGGAGTCTCTTCCACGGTTTTGTCGATAGAGGTCTTCAATGGAATGGAGGTCTTTAATAAAGGACTTTGGCCCTTCAATGTGGGTCTTCACTTTGACAGTTGTAGCACTGTGGGTTTACAAATTTCCAAACCGTAGCAGTAGGCAATGTATGGAAAGAGGGACAAGTGTGTGAAAGGAGGGTTGAAGGGGTGTGTGTATAATGATATGAGTGTAGTATATAATTGATACATTTAGTATATAAATTGAGAAAATTAATTAATAATTAAATTACAAAGTGTGTGTACTAAGAAATGATGTGGATTGAGATAATTAAGTATGTGAAAATATAATTTTCCTATTTTCATGCGTAGACTTTTAAATAAAAAGAATTCAAATTTGAATTTTTGGCATGAAAGCCTAAACTAAAAAAATGTGAGAAAAAAGTGCGGATTGATTTAAAAAATTGAAGAACGCAAACGAAAATAGCAATCAAAGGGGTGTCTTGGAAAGATGGTTAAAAATTGACTTTTTAATTTTTTTTTTAACTTTTTAACTTTTTTATGTGAAAAGAGAAATGGATTAAAAATTGGTAAGTGATTTTTAACCCACTTGCCGAAGCCTGATAAAGATGGAAGCTAGCCTATTATTAAATTTGATTGGTGCGTTGCACCATATTCACTGTTGTGACATGGATTAGCCAATTTTTTCTCCTCAGATCCAACTCCTGTCTCTCTTCCCTCTGATTTTGTCTCTTCCTAAACCTTAAACCCTTTGTATCTCTCTATCTTGGATCCAAACCAGACTGGACACACAATTGAACTGATTTATAGGGTTTTAAGGATTTCCACAACCAATATTTGCAGCGATGGAGGTTGATATGGTGACTTCTCCCAGCTACTTCGACCCCGAAGATCTCAGCACCAGAGAGCGCTATCGTCGTTATGGGTATTCTATTTACCATACCATACGCTGTCCATTTCAGTACTAGTCACTTTTTTCTCTCTATTTCTGCCTCACTATTAGAACAACCCCTTTGTATCTTTAAAATGCCTAATTTCAACCAGTATCATTTGGGTTGTTCATATTTATTTGCATCAATTTGGTCTAGCCACATTTATTTCCCCGTAGTATTAGTGCATTGTGCTCTGAGGCAGTGTTAGTGAATAATGAATTGGTGAAAGCGTTATGCACACTTGAACGCAAAGGCATCTTGGAGCTTAGGTGCAAAGCTCAAAGAAAATAATATATAATGATAATGATTCATAACGTATATAATAAAAAGTTAAAAAGTCAAATAGCAATATATTTAGCCTTTTAACTGAAATGGTTAGAGTCTTATTCAGTTGTACAAAGGTTGTAGTTCAAATTTGCATAGGCTTGTTGATGTAGGACAAATAGAGATGGCAGCAACAGTGAGCTTTGGGGCTGATTTTAATGTCAAAGTGCAGAAAACATAATAGAAGGAGAAGAAGAAGATAGTTATAGGAATCACTCTTAAAATCCCTTAGGCATCACACCTAGGCTAAGAAGCACAAACACTGACACTCGTTGGACACTTCCCGACATGTGCCTAACTCTCGTCAAAATGTGTCCTATTTTTTAAAAATATTTTTAGATCCGGACATTTGGAGGACACATGTGTCCATTGCTTAAACACAAGTGTCCACCGATTAGACACACACAAAACTAGTTATAACTTACAAGTTTGAATTAAATAACTTAGGATACAATGATAAAAGAAAAAAAAAGTAAATTTATAGAATAAGTGTTATATTGCATTTTTTATTATTTTTGAATGACATATTCATATATGTGACATATGATAAATATATTAAATTATATATTTCATGTGTGTCCCCTGCGTGTCCTACATTTTTTGAAAGTTGGCATGTCTGCATGATCGTATCGTATATGTGTTGTGTCGCGTGTCCATGTATGTGCTTCTTAGTACCTAGGATTTGATTGCATTACACAATCCATAAGAAAGCTTCAAAGCTTCTAAAATTCTCTAATATCAACTCTATTAACTTAGAAGCATTAGACGACTTTATATAAGCTTTAGAGATTTCCTATTCCAACTAGAACTAAAAAAGAAAACTTCTAATCCAAAGCTAATTTAAGGCCAAATAAGAACAATAAATTAAAACTAATTAAATAACTTGATCCACAAGACAACCCATGGGCAACCCCTACAGCCCATGTCAGCAAATATGAAAATTACCAAAATACCCCTGCCCTAAAAATCCTAGAACACTTAAAAATAATAATAAAATAACACTCTAATAATATTAGAAATATGATTATATATGGTTCCTATTGGTTTTTCTTTGAAATCATGCCAACTTTCAAATACTGTCACTTCTTTGAGCGCTTCCTTGAGTTCTTATACTTTGCATCACTTACCAATATCTTCAAATTTGAAAACAATTATTGATGGATAATATAACAAAGAGACCAACTAATCATATACCATTTAAACAAATCTTTTTATATAATTTCTCACGTGCTTTGCCAAATATTCACAATTATAAAATATTCTCAATCATGATACTTGATATTCATGATCAAAATGAAGTATATGCTTGAATAAAAATATATCTAAAAGTCAAAATTGAAAAACACTAGTGGCCCATGCCTAACATAAGCAATGCAATACAATCCTGTAAGTGTATAATGATCATTCTCATTAAACATACGACCATCATCATTGTAATCTAAAAGTAGAGCTAATAAATTATATATGTTAAAAAATATAAAAAAAAAAGGCTCGATTTAAGCTTATTAGATAGAATGTTTTTAGTGCAGTGTTGTAAATACGCTTCGTTTTACCTACTAAAAGCTCTTCTGTTATTGCACTTTAAGTGCATTTTTACCAACACTGCTTTAACAAATTACAGAATTTACTGTATTTTGCTTGTGCATATTTGCGCTAAATGATTATGCAATGTGTAAGAAAAGGCACTCAACTTCCAGTCACGACAATTCAGTTTCTTAGTTCAGTGGAACCAGGATTTTGTATGACGGGCAGAGCATTGAAAGGCGGCCAAGCGCTGCCCTTTTCTTTGAAGATATCAAACAAGAGGTTGAGAGCTTTGATTCTCATCAATTAGAAGGAACACCTGCAAAGACACAATTTGCTTTGTGGAGAAAATCATTGGCTGGCAGTCGTGGTGTATCTGAGGCAGATGCTGCTGTTGATTCAATACGTTGACCTGGAAGTTATTCATTAAAATCTTGCAAGCATGGGGATGATGCATTGTCAGATGGTGGAGATACAACTTTTACTTTGTTTGCTTCTCTGCTTGATTTTGCTCTCCAAGGTGCTTGAAGTAAAATCTCTTAATTAAAATCACAATTTCCTCACTGTTTTTGCATATGGATTGATCTCTTGCACCAATGGTTATAGATTTTGACCAGGTTTGAAGGATGTGTTTAAATTGCATTTATTCATCTAACCTATGCCAGTTTCTGTAGGTGTGAGATCACAAGATGTTTTCTTGAATCTAATTAATGTCTATCAATTTTGGAGCTGAGTGGATCATTTAAAAAAAAAAAAATTGAACTTTAATTATTGTGGATTCAGTGACATCAGAGAGGGCAATTCGTCAAGTGCATTAATCTTTTGGAGTTTCAGGAACTATTTGATTATGCTTCTGCATATGTGATGCTTCTATGTTTTTGTGTTTAATTATGTGTAAATCTAAGTTCACCCCTATGTGGAGTTTTTCTATTTATGTCATACTATGAAGCACGGACACGGACACGGGACACGGCAATTTCCAAAAAATAGGGACACGGACACGGCGGGGGACACGGTGAATTTTATTTTATTTATTTTTATATATTTTTATATGTTATGTAGATTCATATTACATTCATCCTAAATCAAAATTAGTAAACACTAACATAGTAACATTAATTCAATAAATATAACCACTACATTTAAACAAATTAATAGATCATCCATTCACAAAAAAGTCATAGTAAACGATAGCAAGAACTAAGATGAGAAGGGGAAAACATTCAACATCCAATAATATTGTTCACAAAAGTATTAAATTAGAGAGGCAAAAGAAAAGAAAAGAAAAAATAGCCCCACCATGTCCCATGCCGTGTCCCTATATGGGCACGCGTGTCCCCACTGTGTCCTCATATGAACATGCGTGTCCCCGCCATGTCCCCTACAAAAAAATCATTAAATTAAAGGAAAGCGCCATCTGACACGTATCGTACGTTTCCTTGTGTCTCCCTGACATGTGTCCCCGTGTCGGACACCGCCACGACACTGATTTTGGAGTGTCCATGCTTCATAGGTGTCATACATTATGGTATATATCCATTTAGGATTGCATGATGATGAGTGCAATGCTACTTGGTTTTTTGTTGTTTTTGGGATGGACATTTAATTACTTGCTAAAATTGGCGTGGAAACTTTTCAAATTGCTTGATGCTTATGATCTTCTTTAGAAATGAAATTTGATTTTGCCTCAAGTGAAGTTCATTTTGAGTCAACTTTTCTATCCTCTAGTTAAATTGGTATTTTACATATTACAAAATCTTTAAATTTTTGATTAATTTTATTCTGAGCCATGTTGAATGCTGATCTAGTAACTGTTTGGTGCTAACCTAATAAATATTTCCCTTCCATAACTCCTGGAGAATGTTTTGGAGGATTTTGGACCTAAGATGGTAGACTTGAGAAGCTTACAAAGATTATTGATTTGCTTCTTTGAAAGCTGAATGGATGCTTTATCTTATTTCACATTTTAAATTACTACACTGGTGTTCAGAATTTCCTTTCTCTGCTAAAGTTTTTTCTACCACAAAACTTATTATGAATAACATTTATGATTCCCTTGTGTATCTTACAGTTGACATTCTATGTATCACAGGGTTAATGCCTATCCCTGATATGATATTGCAATTTGAGAGATCTTGCCACAATGTATCAGAGTCAATAAGGTGGGTCTCACACTTCTCGTATATTTATATTTCTGTTGAAGAGTCTTCTTTCTGAATGTGTGCACATGTACCACTGTAGCATGCTGAGTATTGTGAATATTATTGTAGTATTTTACTGTGCATGCACGAGAAACATATCTTTATTAGGATGAAAATAGGAGGTGGGTAGACAAGGGATGAGGAAGTCTCATTTCTAGTTTATAAAGAAAGAAACAATGAGAAAGAAAGGTCTCTGCCTAAAATATTTTGTATAGTGCACATTTTTTTTTTGTTGCAACTACTGGCTCTAAATTGTGCTGAATGAGGTTCTTAGGATACGGTTATCATGAATAATTTGTTTTGAATTTTTCATATTAAATTTGGTAATGCTTAGCATCTTGGCTGGTTGTTTACTATGTTCCTGTGCTCTACTTCCGTAGGTATGGATCCAATGAAAGACAGAGAATTGTGGACGACAAGTTGATGAGGCAGAAGGCTCGACTCTTACTTGATGAGGCTGCTTCTTGGTCTCTTTTGTGGTACCTATATGGGAAAGGAAATAAATCTCTACCATTAATGTTCCTATCATAGAATTGATGTTTTATATAGATAAAGTGGGCTCTATGGTGTCACCACAACAATATTGAAACTTCTTGAATGCATGCTCATTGAAGTTTGGGAAGTTCATACTTCATGATTTATGTACTGAGGAGTGAAGTATTTGCGTAATTTATCCATTCTCTGTTGGTATCAAATTATTTAGTTGTGCTTAAGAAGAAATAGCATCGTGACATTCAAAAATGATTTTAAAGTAGTTCCATGTTATTAGATTAAAGTACATTTGAAGTTTATATTTGTCAGTTACATCCCTGCTGAATATATGAGCATATAAGTGATCTGACCATTCCCTTCGACATTTACAATTATTTCCTCTCTCTTGATCAATGTAATATTTGACCACTCCACTATGCACCTCACCTTTTGATCCATTGTTTCAATCGGGCTAGTTACGTAGACTTCTGAGTATCTTGCTGGTTCATGGTGTAACGATCTTCATGAGACAACATTGGTATATGTTACAATATCGGATCATGAATTAGCTAGTATTAGAAATCTTGGAAGATTTTTATTCCTGATTGTTGGTGCATGTCATACCTGATACCATGTCTAATTGAATACTTGGAAAGCTTCACAAAGTGTTATCATTTTCCTTATTAAACAAATTTCTATTTGATGGTGAAATTGATCATTCTTTTATATACATTTCTCATCACATAACTTCCCACAAATTGAATTCTTAAATTAGATGATTGGCTATCCCAACATTCATCTTAGAATGTTCAAACTTTAGTTACATATTTGCTCACATAGTTTCGTGGTTAGGAATAATGATGCATATTGAAGTTACTTAGTGGACTTGAATGTTTAGACAAGGTATTCTTGTTGGCTCCTGCATGTTTATGTTGGCTTGTTTGTGAAATTATTTTTTTCATCTTCTTGCAGGAAATGAAGAACTTCCAGAAGATCTGATGCTGGTGATGCATCTTCTATTGTTAACTCTCAAGTTTTCCATTATGTTTTCTTGCTCTTATTTTGTGAGCTCATCTAATGCCTTATGACAGTCCCCTACAACTTCGCATTTGGAGGCTTGCCAGTTTGTTGTTGCAGATCATACAGCACAATTAGGCCTCTGGATTGTTCAGTGGCTTGAAGGATTAGCCTCCAAAGTGCTTGATTTGGATAATGAGGTGATGACTCTGCTACTTTCTCCTGTTTTGACAGTCTAATGCTTATCCATGGTTTGTTGTTTCTTTACTTTTTAAAATTTAATTTTGATTTTGAATGTCTTTCTTGTTGCATTTCAAAAGATAGTCTGAAGCTGCCAACTATTGTGAATTGATACCATAATCCACCATATACTTGAATTATTTTTTCCTTTTTCGATTAGAGAAATTATCATAGTTGAAGGTGGCTATTTTCAGCTGTTATTATTTTTTAGTTTATTTGAGGTCTATTTTAGTAAACAAATGATTTAGATAGTGAAAATTAACATCTTTTTTCTTTAGCGTGCACATCAATGAGGTGTAAGGCTTGGAGTGCCTTCTTTCCAAATTAGCAGACAATTTAGTGATCAAAAAGACTTTTTCCCTGGAGAGATTTCAGTGCACGTTAATAAATCAAATATATTATCAAGATATTGGGTGGCAAAGAAGATAAAATATGCAATAGGTTTTATGTGCTGAAATTTGAAAGCAAAAGATCTAAAGCTTTTATTCTGTATTAGTAAAAGGAGAATGTGATTTGGTAGAAGAATCAGTGACTTGCAACATTAATTGCCTGGTTGTAGGAGAGTAGTGATGGGCCCTTGGAGGGTTAAACAGGAGCAATTGTAAATTGTATTCTAAAAGCAAAATTTTGTTTTAATACATTGTAGTTCCAGTTGCCCTAAGGCCACGTGTCCTTCATCTACCAAAGTTGCTCGCTCGGGAACTGGGTATATTGGGAAGTTTCAACTTCTGTGAAAGCGCACCGCATCGCCCGATCAAAGATCGGCCTCTACTAACCAATGATATCTATTTGAAAAACATTTAATGTCTTATTTCCGGTTTTATAGCCTAATTTACTATGGTTATGCGCACAGCATACAAGTATATAGACTGGATCGTCTGAATTGTGAACAAAAGACATTTCATGTTTATTTTTTTTAAAGGGTTTTGATGGTTCTACTCGCAAGTAGGCTAAAGACGTGGATTTGCCACCCTCAGTGAGCTTAGAAACATGATTTTGCCACTATCCAGTGGGCTTTAAAACTCACAATTAATGAATTGTTCCAATTCAAATTAAACCCAACCTTCACCCACAGGCATTCAGGCAGTTATATCACATAAGCAATTAAGCCTCATGGAGCATGCTGTCATTGCAGTCTCTCCACATCGCATGCAAGGATGCTAAAAGCATAAAACTTATCGAGTACTCCAAGCCAAAACAAGCTAGGTTAGAAATCCATGCATATCCATAACTATACAGAAATGTCTAATGCAAACACATTGCAAAAATGCAACTTATAGCAGGCTCGCTATCTAAACTAGGCTATTGAAATCCTATAGCTAACATGTATTCAACTGAATGAAAATACATGCAGCAGTAAGATGCGCCGAGCCCGTGCATGCAAACAGATGAATGAATGCAAACATGCTATCCATACTGTATTTTGCTATTTAAATAGACCCTAAATCTAACCATCATAGGCTGGTAAAATAAAGGGTGAAAAAGACGTGGGTGTGGAGACATACATCACACACACGCACACTTATTACAATATAGACCTCACAGAAGGGTCGAATAAATAATTATACAGTCCCAAATGAAATTACAATCCAATATTACAAAAACCTAATTAATTAACAAATTAAATAGAAAAGCAATAAATTGATGCAACCAGGACTGCCTCAAATCTGCTCACGATGATGAATGATGCAGTTTTGGGTTGCCTTGCGCAGAAATCCATTGTGATGCCCCAATTAGCCTCTGTTTTGCATTGTTCTTGGATTCGTGCCAAGCTCCGGAAGCTACTGACTCTTGATTTGTTTTTTGTAACAGAGAGCAAGAAAGGGCATGGCATAAGTATTTACATATGTTATGCATGACTACCCTTCAGGGAGTGTAGTCCTTGATCCTCGTGCCACTAATCACGCATTATCGATGCATGATGGCCGAGGAGTCGAATTGCACCGACTCAATATAAATGAATGCACAATAAACACAACAAAACCTAAACTCCATCAGGATAATCCGGAGTGTCGTGACTGGATATGAGACAACGTTCGTCACTCGAAGTACGAAACTCCCTTTCCCGTGCTCGGCATACCCCTTTTATCCCAAGCACAATTGCAATAGCATAACATGCATGAGTGCAACTAAGATACAACCTAACAATGCACATGCTATGAAATGGCTAATACTACATGCACGAGGTAACTATGGCATTAAACACAATGCTGCTAACATATTACAATGCTTTACCTTGATAATGAA